AGCCTAAATGAGCTTTGTTACTCCTAATATCACTTGTAGAATAAACGCTTTTTAAAGACATATTTCCGTGCAAAAATATCCTTTTCGTATCAGTGTATTCCCGATAACTCTTACTGGACCACCAAGCCCGAATTAGGCTACTCCAACTTACTTCAAGCTCAGATGCGTGGCAAAATGCGCTTATGCAATCGCCCGCCTCGGCTGGTTTTCTATGAGCTTTGTTCTTGAAAGTGCCACATATACGTATGTGGACCATGTGTCGACATCAAAGAAAGGTATGTACTAGTGGTGCTCGGCACGGGCCCTACTGCTATGTTAAGGCCCTCGGCTTTGATTGGCATTGTAGGCACGAAATACATCCGGTGATATGCCTGTCATCAGGGGTGTCACTCTTTAAACACGGTTTGGGCGGAATAGATCCAGGTGAGCTTATCGCTGCCTCAAAATGGGATTTTCCTAATTGCGGCCACTTAATTTGCATCCCGATATAAAGTAAAAAGCAACTTTTTACATTTCGGTGATTCCACGGTCCTTTTGCTGTGTGATACGACTTCTAATTACGAGGCAATAAGAAGCTGAGCTTTTTAAAGCTTGGAGAGTCGTGTAATTCACAGATAAACAATGTGATAGTCCGAGCGATTATATCTAACGAACATTTATGTGGTTATCGTAAGTCGAAGTTAGCCTGAGGCACAAGAAGACGCTTTGTGTACAATGGTGTGGCATGCAAAGCACGGACGAGAGCCTATGCAACTTTTGAAGTACATTGTCATGATTTAACTACATACAGAATAAAAACTATACTTGCACTACTCTCTCCCCATGAGACACCGCATTTCCTTGGTGGGGGAACTGGGTATTCCCAATGATCCAGAGGGGGTTGGGGAGGCTTGTAAAGCGTCTGAAGCAGAGGAGCCAGAATAAACATACATGCACAGGGTCCTGAGTTAGGTCGAAGCAGGGCTTAGTAACCCCTCGCTTCCAGCTTTCAATTTCATTAGGGTTGCCAGGCATCGTTGTGTCCCACAAGAACAATGAAGGTATCCTGCGCGTTGATATGGACACTTTGTGGGTCAGTCCCGTTGTCCACCAACACGCACTTTTGATCTGGATCTGCCAGCCTGTGCGCGCCCCGTGTCCACTCCGCTTGAGTAACCGGCTTGTCAGGCACCGCCCTCGTGCGACATGGGTAAACAGCCATACGGCCTGAGTAACATGGTGTTGAAACATGCGCGCTTGTAAGTCGTAGCAATAACAACCTCGACGCGCGGCGTTGCAGTCTCCAGGCCGTGCGGCGTCGGTCTTGTGGTTGTAACACTGAGCGATGGCCAATGAGCCAGCGAAAAAGATGACGCATCTTAAGGCAGATGGCTGGTGAACAGTGGCAGTGGTACAGTGGTCAAGCCTTCTATATCTGGCGTTTGTGAGCACGACTTTCAAATATAACTACCGTCAATTGGCTCTCAATCAATGTCGTGCAAGGTGCGATGAAGTAACCAAACAATGACATATCGAGGAGCATGTTTGCTTAACGGAGAAATTGTGTTGTCTGGACCGGTCTCGTTTACTTACAAGCATGCCAATAGCTATAAGCGAGCTCGTTTCATCACATCTGATGCTTGCTTCAGTATCTCCAAGCATGAAACATTCTCTTTGAGTGTGATTCTGTTCGACACGGCCCCCGATCGCTTATCTCATGAGCGACCATTCGCTTTTCCAACAAGTGGTATAGCCGTCATCCCGTTCAGGTTCAAAGCACAATGTTGGCGATGACGAACATCGGCACATCGTTCCAAGCAGCTGTAACACACATGGACACTTTCCGCCGCATGGAATCGTCTGTTTTCGTACCATGGTTGTGCACCCTCGTTGGAATACAACCATGGTAGGTCCTCTGTCTGAAACGTCTTGGTCCCTGAGCGTATCTTGTCGATCTACATCGCGTTGGCTAATCTGAAACCCACCTGAGCAACTTTTTTTGTTCTTTGGGCCAAAGGTCTCAGCCGATTTCATCGGTATGGGGAAGCCCCGGCATTGGCTGCAGTCCTTCTCGCATCGCAGTCTGCTGCTTTAAGCTCACACCGATTAGCCGTGCTACGGTGGAGTGCGTACTATTCACGGTGCACCGGTTCTGTAGTGGGCGCAAACAGGTGGCTTAGGAGGCCGGATTTCTCAAACCATCTTCCCAACTGTCGTCGTGATTATTCACATCATCGCTTTCTTTGTTTTGCCTCCCCGAGTCCCCACGATCATTTGAAACATAACGCTATCCACCGTTTCTTTACCTCTGGGTATCCGACCAATCCTTCCGACCCGACACACATCATCCCAGTCATGTTCAAGGAGGCAAACGAGTTATCCAGCGACAGTTCCGCCTCTACTTTTGCCACAAACACTTTCTGTTCCTACCCCCAGCGAGGCTGCCGCTTTCTCCACTGGACGGCAATTGCGCTTGGCAACGTGTCGTAATAAACAATGCCCAACAATACTGAATCATATCTAACAACTCATAACGAACAATTCATATAGACCAATACTTTTATGGGATTGTGGCTAATAGCAAACTGCTCTATAAGATACCTTAAAATGCGTTGTAAAAATATCAAGATGAGGGTTTTGTTGAAAATGCGGTTTTAGAATATGTTTGTACCATTAATAAGACTGCCCACTTGCACGCTTGTCATAAATCAGTGTTGCGCACCTTAGGAGGGCCTACATTTCTGATTCATGACCGTATGTCATACCGTACAATTTTGATTTCATGTGGGCAAGTTCTTCATCAGTATCATAAGGTGATAAATGACCAACCTACAAAATGAGATTGATTTAGACACGTAGGATTAGCCACATTGCGCGTCACTTTTCCCTTGCATACTACTGTTCCAATAAAAAAACATTTATGCATTTACCATAGTTTAGCTATGCATCACTGCTTGCTGGGTCAAGGTGACATTTCTTGACAAAAAAAGTTATTGAAAGGGCAAGTTTGCAGACATTACCTGTCTCCGAACCCGTTGGCTTCAATGCGTAAAATGGTCGCAAAAAAGAACGCATGTTGCTGCACTGGCACACCAGTCGTCGTGGCGGAAGCCCAACTTCGGTACAAGCGCTGACATGCACTGACTACATTCATGATGTGGCCAAAACGCGTGGTGGCATGTTCGCCTTCCAGAGTAAGTGTTCGTATATGGCTCTTTAGAGGACCATTTGGCCGTTGAATTGATAGTGTCAGCCTAGTTGCAGGGCGGCCGACAGTCGTGTAGTCGCATGACACGGTAAAGGTCCTTTCGTGCTGGTTGGATAAGGGAGCGCGGGGAAAATGGGTCCGTTGGGCATGTATTAACACGCGTTCGGGTGGGGGGGGATCAAATTACCCCCCCCCCAAGGTCTTTTTTAGAATGGTTTCCGAACGACGCGGCGCAGCCGCGCCAATTTGGCCTAGTTGTAGACAATTGAATAGCGGATCGTTTCAAGTCACAAATTTAGATGTACCTTGTAAGGTTCGCTGACCTATGGCAGGTCAAAAGTCAGGCTATGGTTTCAGCGAAGTCAACTTCTAGGGAATCGTTCAATCTGATTGCAACAACGGAGTGTTAGATGAAGCCATACATCTCTGAGATGCTTTCTCAGACAACTCAAATATTGAATGAGCAAGTTACGTGACCAAAGGTCAAGTATAAGGTCAGACCCAAGGTAAAAACCAACCTGCTTCATTACTCTAGGGCCTGCTGTATGGATAGCTTCTGGTGTTCATTCGAAGTTATTGATAGCAGGAACCGCATTATACATCTTCGATGGACTTCTTAGAGGCCAGAATAGGTCATTGATCTGAAATGACTCAGATAAGCATCTTTTTTGGAGACGTACCGCCCAGCGAAAATCTTTGTCGCTTATTCACATGCAAAGCCCAGAGAAGTCTTGTATGATTTTGGTCGACATGAACTTCAAAAGGTCAAGCAAGGTCACTGACCTAAACTGAGCGTGTGCCCTTTTGCTCTGAAACAGTTATCTTGGTTCTGGGGGCACTTTGGAGGCCAACGTTTTAATTGGAATTTTTTTACCTTATTTGACCCGAAGGTCATGACCTAGGAACCTCAAACTTTGACCTAAATGAGATCACGTACAGGTCAACACGCCCTGTTCCAAGATCTCAGGGGGTCTAATTGCCCCCCCCCCTCCCACCCCACCCGAACGAAGGGTATCTAGCCGGCCACCCGGGCGCGTGTTGAAAGTAAGGAGTTCGTGGGTCCGGAGTGCTAGCGATTAATTGTGATTAATTGTGTGATTAATTAATTAACGCGAAATCAGACCAAATATCCGTCCAGCCAAATTTCCGTTTCCCATATTGTGTCTCATTTTGACCCGGACCTATAATTTGAACTCATGATATCGCCTCCATCCCCACGATTATGCTGCTCGATGTTGCTTTGATTTGTCATGAGACGTTACAACAAATAAGTCGGGTCCGAATTTCAGGCACACCAATATTAGGTTCGTAGCCACCATGGGACAGCCCAAATGTCGCGACACTTCACCTCCGCGTGGCTGATTCCAGCCAAGCAGGCTGGTCGCGGCACCAGGACGCCCTAAGCGGAGCGTAAGCCCTCTGACCAGCTGTGCGCGAGGCGTGGCACAAGCCCTCTCATGGCGGCATTTGTCTGCGCTGGGCGTGTGTTGGCGGGGTGCGGCGGCTCGGAGCACATCACTAGATGTTGCTGCAGGCGCGTCCCTCCTCGTCACTGAAGTCGCCTTAGCTGGCGGGTCCGAGCCGTCCTGCAGCGGCGTGTGCTGGTCGGCCGAGGGGACCGCAACGCTGCACAAGCTTTCGCTGATGTTAAGTACACCGACCGCGAACTCCTGGGCCAGGGGGCGGGGGGGGGGGGGGGGGGGAGGGTAGTCGGCGCGTTACCGGGTCGACAGGAGCGGGGAACGGGCGCGTTCCAGCCGCCGACCGCTGGCGACTCAAAAGCGAGCCACGCGTGTGCTGTACCACACTACGGTCATAAGTCGCCTGACGAGCGCAGCACGGATGGAACCCGGCACGGCACGGTCGCAAGGCAACATCCATGCCAGGGGCGAGCACGACACCGACTGGCTTACGGTGAGCGTGACGGCGACGGTTGCCAGTTCCGCGGACTTCCTTAATGCCCGTTCGCTTGCGCCAAATACACAAGGCCGTCAGGTGATAAACATCCGTCTCCTAGCAACCGGGCCAAATGCTACTGGTACCCACGTCACTTCCTTGGAAAACTGCCGTTGGCGGTGCACAGTTTTGTGGCAGCACCATTGGATTGTCAATGACGTCAACTGCGGGCACTTCAACCACTCTTTAAATTGCTTCTTTGATTAAGCGGTAGAGCCAGACATTGTTTGCTGGCAAAACGGTAGAGCAGTAGAGCCCAACATCATCAATTACAGAAATGAAGAGCAGAAGGTAAATATTCATGTTACCTTTACTCCCCCCCCCCCCGTGACAAATTTTGCATAATTTTATTACAGGTCAACTTCATGACATCCCCCACTGATGTTTCGAAACACATCAAGCCAGTTTTGCCTTGTGAGGGCTATATTTGTCATCAAAGCCTGAATAATTTTTGACAAAAATTGTGTTGGAAGTTTTCAAACTGGTGCATGTAAAGGGTAAACGGGGGATCCCAATTACCATGTTTTGTGTTTGGTGGATTAAGATAGCGCGCCAAAACCAAAGTATGAATTCGGGAATCCACATATCATGACATGTGCCCACATATCATGACCACATATGACAAGTGGGTTGTATTTACGTCTGGTTCGGAGATCTCTATGGGCTAGGTCAACGGTGCGGAAAGGTGGTTAAGAAATTTAGACTAGAATAAAAAGGATTTCTTACCAGACATGCAACATCGAGGAAACTAACGGTGGGCTTAGGTGCACCACCCACGCGGATAAACAAGCTATATCTAGGCTCTATATTTCCACTACTATTGAGGTAAGCGAA